GGGTGATTTTACAGCCATTTTTTGGAATAACCATGGGCTATAATAGTACATGGTTAATACTATTATTATTATTATTATTTATTTTTATTTATTTATTTATAAATGCTCAGGAAACTGTTGAGGAGCTTGCAGAGAGTCTAAGAGAAGAGAAACAATTATTAAAGACTTTAATGGAAAAGAATAAAGACAAAGAGTGTATCAAGTAAGTGTATGTATACACACACATCATTATGATCCACTAGTAGCTTTATATCTTATAATGTGTGGAATTGTAATACAGCAACTTTAATATAATTATTTTAGTCATTTTGGCCTTGCCAGCGATTAGCGTAGGCCAAGGATATGTACATGTAGTTACTTTGTCTTTAATTAAATTATTTTATTTCTTTATTATTTTATTAGTATAGATATGAGTTTAAACTACAAAAGAAGAGTCTACCAGTTCATTTCAATGAATCCTCAACAGTTGATAATGTACAAGGATGTATCCTCTTAACATACCATGTACATGTACATCAATATGTATCAGTAAAACATTGGAGTGATTTCAGAGCCAAAATAAAATCCCTATTTCACAGTTCCATATAATACATGTACATGGAAATCATATGCCTCACTAAAGTAGATCCACACTATACAGTGAACTATGGTATGATTACGTTAGCATTTTGTACATGTACTTATTGTTTTATAAATATTATTATTCTCTTATTCCTTAATTCCAAATGGTTGCCAGTTATGAGGAGAGATGATGAAGAGATTGAGCCCTTTTCATTTGATATTAGTAAATGTGATCATGTGGATATAGCTAACTCACTGTGGGGACTATCAACAAATGGATTTAATGAAGAACTACTAACTAGTGAAACTAAACAAAATTAAATAAATGTATATTTATAAAAAATTCATTAATAAAATTATTACATAGCAGGTAAATTTGGCAGGATTACAATTACGAAAATAAAAATTAATATAAAGCTTAGAAATTAAATTAATCCATTCAGTCAATCCTATTACCAATAAGTGTGTCTAAGTTCAAGCTTTATTTGGTGTATTTTAATTTGCATTCCCTAATCCTCTTCAACCTACAGTATAATAAATGAAATAAGTGATGAGGTATTTAATTAACTGATAGTACATGTACATGTACATGATGATACATGAGGTTTACTGACCTTGCTTCCTCTGCCTCTTGTATTTCTGATCTCTCTTTATCTGTTAACTCTTTCATTCTCTCTCTATTGTCTCTAAATAATTATAAACAGTAAGAGGTGTATGTAAGTATGTGTGTATACATAATGTGTGT